GGAAATCACCTGATTATGAACTTTAATCACATTTACAAAATACCATCACAGGAACACCTAATTACCACCTGACTAAATAACTGGGTAGTGAAGCCTAACCCAGGTGACACATGAAACTCATGGAACTGAACATCACAAGGAAAAATCCCTTGTCAATTCTTTTCATGAAATCAATGTTTATCTTGAATACCAAAAACTGACAAAAGATTACAAGAAGAGCAAACTACAGACCCACATCCTTCAGGAACAATAGCTTCAGAATTCATGACAAAATATCAACAACTGAATACAATGATACCATGACCAGTGGAGTTTATCCCAGAAATACAAGGTTAACTTAACCCACAAATATCAATGAGTATAATTTGTCATATTACAAGAGTAAAGGAGACCGCTGGAGTATAGCTCAGTGGTAGAGTGCTTGCCTAGTATTCGTGAAAAACTGTGTTCAACTCCCAGAACACAAACACACACACACACACACACACACACACACACACACAAACAGGAAGGGGAAATAATTATATGATTATCTGAATAGGCGAGGGGGAAATAGTTGTCAAAATTCAGACTCCTTTTTGATTAAAAACATTTTTAACTCTCAGAATACTGGAAATTATTCAATGGGTTAACAGAAAAAAAGGTCAAATTTCCACTGGAAAATACACACACACAAACACACACACACACAATTGTAATTAACCTCCTTCTTTATGGGAAAATACTGACATTTTTCTCCCCAAATGTATAAGTAAGCCTTATCACTACTACTCTCCATTGTACTGGCAGCAAAAGCCACACCAATAAATCAAGAAAAGGAAATAAGAATCATAAATATGGGAAAGAGAGAAGTAAAACTTACTATTTGCCACTGACATGATTGTATATGCAGAAAATTCTTCAGAATTAAAAAACAATAAAACAATTCCAAGAAATGCAATGTGAATTCAACAAGTTCAATGACGGGGTCAGCATACATAAATCAACTGCACTAAACACTAGCAACAAAAAGATGATATTTAAATCAGTACCCTCTACAGAACAGGACAGTATCAAATACTCAAGAATAAATGCAACTAAAGAAAGGCAATATGAAAAACTACAAAATCTTTCTGAGAAAAATTAAAGAAGAATTAAATAAGTGGAAAGATATACCAGGATGATAAATCAGATACTGAATATTGTTAAGATTTACAGACATCCCCTGCCCCGGCCCCATACTGATCTATGGCTGAAGACTCCTGTCAATCTCCCAGCATGGCTTCCCCATCCCCACCACCACTGAATGGTATTAGGATCAAACCCACTAGCAAGACTTAAAAAAAAAAAAAAAAAAAAAAATTGACAAGTTGATTCTAAAATTTAAAGGACCACAATGCACAAAACAATCTTGACAAAAGAGGTACAAAATTGGAGGACTTGGGTCTCATGCTTTACTAAAATGAACAATAACCAAGACACTGTGGCACAGACCCAAGGACACACAGATCAGTGTAAGAAAATCAAGTGTACAAACAGGACCTGCTCACAGGCAGGTCCTATTAAGACAATTCAATGAATGCCAGTCTTTTTTAACAATGTGACTGGAATAACCAGGGGTTGAAAATAAAAACAACAATAAAAACCAACACAAGACTCATCAATTCTTAAAAAGGCAGAACAACAGGAAAGTATCCTCACAGTCCAAAGGACAGCACCAAGGTTTCTTAGGACACAAAAACACGAACTACACAAGGGAAGATTTAAAGAGCATTAAACACTAGCAACAAACAGAGAATACTTAAAACAATCCCTTCAACAGAATAGAAGAATATCAACTACTCTGAGCTTCATCAGAATTAAAACCAACTAAAAATTTACCAAAAAGAATATTAAAAAGCACACCTGTGTATGCATAAAGTCCTATGTTCCATCCCCAGCACAGCAAGAGAAAGAGAGCACTAGCGGTCAGAAAGCATGGCACCGGGCTGGGGTTGTGGCTCAGCGGTAGAGTGCTAGCGCCTAGCATGTGTGAGGCCCTGGGTTCGATCCTCAGCACCACCTAAAAACAAATAAAAGGAAGGCATTGTGTCCAACTAGAACTAAAAAAATTTAAAAAGCAAGACACCAAGCAGGAGAAAGCATTCACAAAGCACTAATATTAAAAATACATAAAATGTACATAGAAATCATCAGTGACAAGATTTTCAAAAATAGTTTTAAAAAAATCAGCAAGAGATCTGAACCAATATTTTACCAAAAACATCTAAATAGCCAATAAGCATGTATGAAAAGAGCATGATACCATTAATCATTAGGGAAATACAAACTAAAACACCAACCACATCAACTATACCCAGGAGGAAGACGAAAATCAAAATGACTCATAAGACTCAATGTTAATAAGCACTCAGAGCGACTGGACTGCCCATAAATTGTTGGTGAGTGTGTAAAGTGGTACAAGCATTTCAAAAGACTTTTTGTTCATGTGCTCTGTTTTACTTTTTTAAAGTAAACATAATCCTCACTATAATTCAGCAATTTCACTCTTAGGTATTTTTATCTAGGAGGAATGAAAACATATGTGCCCATAAACACTTGAATAAAAGGGTCAACTGCTTAAAAAGGAAAAAAAGCAACAATCCAAAGGTCATGTGCAGAAAAGATAAAATCGGGTATCTTCCTACAATGGGACACTTACTATTCAGGAAAAAAATTTAAAAAGAAACCCTCAAAACATGCCTGGAAGGAAAAAACATTAGGATGAGCAAGATAATCCAGCCACAGAAAAAATATATTCTGTATTGATTTCTTGTATATGTAGGCCAGAAACAGGAAAGCGAATCTATGGTGAAGGCAATGTGGGTGAGGCTGGGGTGTGGAGATTGCTGTATGGCACAGGAGACATTCTGAGGGCAAGAGAAATATCCTACATCTCATTTCAGAGTGGCAGTCACAGAGATGTGCACAATTATCAAAATCCAGCAAACTAAAGGACAAAGTTTATTTGTATTGTAAACTACATCCCAATTAAAAATAAAGATAGGGTAAAAAAATTATGCCACCAGAATGCCATGTTCAAATATTGGGCAATGTATACAGAATAGTCACAATGCCCAGAGGTGACAGCCTTCTGGGCACTGATAGTGGGGGCAAAGGGACACACATGAGGTCCAATGTGCCTCAGAACAAACGTGGCCCTGGGTGACAACAGCCCCATGGGGTGGTAGCCCTTTGCCGTGAGCGCACTCTGGGCTTCCTGCTTCAGGACTGAATGCGGAGGACAATCAGAGAATGCCCAGTGACCTAGACAAAGGCTGCAAGACACCAATGAGTCAGGAAACTCACAAGCAGGAGACCATCACGAGACAGCAGACTTATATAATGGACTGTGTCCCACATCACAGTGAAGAGACACGTCCACATGCGGATCAGCAAATGCGAGGTGGTAATAAAAGGGAGGCAAGTTCGCCAGCCTCACCTTTTCTTGTTCATCTTATCAAGAAAACCCAAACTAAAATGAATGCAATCAAGAATTGCATATGGAGACTCTGAGGGTCCTCGAAGACTAAATGTGTAGCCATTTCCCTCTCCTGAGTAATAACTGCCAATTTTATCGTGACGCAGGATGCAAGACGACAAGAGACCACTCTGTGAATGGCCACAATTGTTTTGCCATGGACATCATCCAATAATGCCAGGATGCAAAGTTCTATGCTCTGCAGAATACCACCAGGCTCGATAAAAAATACGAGACCCTTCATTTTTTTTCTTTAGGTCTTAATTAGCGTCTTGTTAAACGACAAGCATTATCATTGGAGCGCACATGCTGGGACAAATTGCAACACTGGTTGCCAGCCTGGAAGCCTGGGAGGGTCCCTGGTGATTAACTGTCACCATGTTGATGTTGACAGTGCTGCTTTCTCACTGGAAAGGACCCAACCATCTCATTGTCATTAAAAATAGAAAAGAAAGAAAGAATGAATGAAAAGTAAAGAAAAAGAAAGGTAAGGGAATCATAGGAGTGGGCCTGGGTGAACCCTATCACCCTGATCACTGAAGCCCGCGGGTCAAGTCTGGTCAAGAACCATGTCATCAACTCCCCTGTCCGAGGCAGGAAACCCACTTTAACCTGGCAGCTGGCAGGAATCATCACCTCCAGGGCTGGCATTTCCACGGACTATTCCCTCCTTGCAAACTCGCGGACTAAACCTCTTTTGTTGCAGCTGAAAGCATGAAAACACTGTGATTCGGTTAAAATGGATGATTTTACTCTTAAAGAGTAAGACAGAGATCTTTGAAACGAGGGCAAAGCAACCTCACTAACAGTCTCTTTTGTGCGAGAGGGATTTGAGGGTGGGAGTGGGGAGCAGGGGTGAACAAATGACAGAGTCATTGTTCATGGGCTTTCTACACACTTTCCCTGACATCTCTACACAATGAAATGCAAGGGTCAGTGGTACCGAGACAAGCCAAGGCAGTCCCACCCTTATGCTTCCATAAAAGCCAGTGACCCGGCCCATTCTTAGGCTGCCTTTGTTCTCATTGCCCAGATGCAGAGGCTTTTTCTCACTCCTCCCCCAGGAAGAGATGACTGAGGACACCTCCTTCCCGTTTTCTTTGGCTTGGGCATTTTCACTTCATAAAGCCGCAGTCAATGTGTTTTGTGTGGGGGGAGGAGGCAATGACACATTCCGTGGTGGTCCCCACCACCGCCTGCATTGGTGGCTCAAGTAGCCTCAGGATTAGCCCTTTGTGTCCCATGAAAGGATATGAAAAGTCAGTTATTTAAGCTCAGTCAAGCTGTTTTTTTTTTCTTTTTTTCTTTTTCTTTTTGGATGAGGGTGTGTGGGGAAGAAAGGTTTGCAATTCAGTTCTCCTCAATAAATTTCGGCATTTTGCTGAGGGCAGCTGTGCATGGGTTTGCTCGCTCAGAGCAACCCCGAATCGTTAAAGAGGGAAACTGACATGCCCAAGTCCCACCTCTGCATCCTAGGTTCATTTTCACGTTTGTCCCGCAGGAAGACCTCTCAGAAGTGAAGATGGTAACGACAAGAATTCCAGATCACTGAGACTCTACTCACTGTCACTGGGGACCAAGGAAGTTTCACAAGCACTACGGAAATCACGTGAATATGAAAAATGTCACGTTCTGGGGTCTCTTCTGAGGACAACTGATTCCGATACAGCCATTGAAATCTTCAGGGTTCATAGATGTGTATGTACACCCCTAGAATCTGGGGTACAAACACATGTAGTGATATTATTGGGATGGTGTCCACCTGACATTGTTACTATAATACAACATGATGTGACCAATGCTGCCAGAGACTATTTGTCCCATTTAAAATTGAATGTAGTTTCAATATAACTACCCCTTATGTGCTTGGACAATACACTAAAAGTTTTGCTGAAATGGTGCTGGGGTGTGACTCAGTGGTAGCATACCTGTCAGCATATGCAAAGCCCTGGGTTCAATTCCCAGCATCCCTAGAGGAAGAAGAAATCAATCTCAATCTCAATCTCAATCTCTCTCTCTCTCTCTCTCTCTCTCTCTCTCTC